GTTGTGAATCATACGCTTTTTATCAGACAATCTGGAAACGGATTTCTCTTTATTAAATTGCTCTATGCAAAGCCTGTCATTTCGTCGGCGAACGCTGCAAAAATGTGTTTGCACAATTCAGTAACAACCACGTGCATTGCTCAAACGAGATGTGCACAAAACGGCCTTGCCACCTGGATTTTCCAACGGCAAAACCAGTTACCGCAGCGTGGCGATGCTAATGAATTTGATAGCCACTCGACAAACAAACGGAGAACAAAGCCTTTAACTTGTCGGTAATATTTCGTAGTAAAATTATCGTAATACAATAATGCGGGATTTCCGTATTAATTTCGTGGATTTAGTACCTCTACGAATTTCGGTTGTACATTTTGTTTGCACTCTAAATTTTCAGAACGCTGATACTATATCGATTCAATTTTGCGACTTTATTGAATTCATTTATTTAATTATGTGTATCACTATTCATTTGGCCAATCTTCACGATACGAAACTAATTCGACGTAGACATGGCACTCTTGTACAGTATCTTTTATGTAATCTAAGGAGATTATCAGGATCGATTAATTATTTCTGGTCTCCAAATAATTCATAATTTAATTCAGCAGAGTCACTACACAAAAATATACTAATTTCGATTCACTGATCTATTGTGTAGATAAATATTGAGTCTTAATTATTATAACAGAGTTACACTCCACTCTAAGTATTTCAAAGAAAATATCGGTTTATTTCTATATTTTAGTTTTTTTTTATAATTTTATATGATGCAGTTGCTTAATTCTATCAATTATGCAGACAAATAATAATTGAATTGTCGGTTTAAAATAAAGCATGCAGTGTTTATTCAATAGGAAAAAAAGAGAATTTACGCAAATTATACCATAGCAATGGCAAGCTGTATCTAGTTTATCAAAACTAAAAATAGATTATAGTCGTGTGTGAAGACGTAAATAAACATTTATCTGCAGTTCGTAAATACAGTTCCATTTGCCATAATTTCCTTAGAAGGTGCTAATCGACAGCTAAACGAGAACGTTGAAGTAATTTACACGTGAATTTATATAAGTAAATATATTGAAACCACTCTGATGATGACTTGCAGAAAAGTTGTAGATACCAATTAGTTAAAAAATATCCGTTGTTACACGCATAATCGAGTACACATAAATGCAACGTCTCGCAGTCGATTTCAGATTTTAAATTGTAAATTAAGGAATCTGCAAATAAAACATTAGATAATAATAGAGGTCACCTTATTCTCTTGTATCACATCCAGGCCTGGGCATGTATCTAAAATACTTTTATTTGAAAAACAGTATTTGTAAGACAATTGTATTTTGCATTTCAGTGGAACATAAAAATATGTATTTTATATTTCAAATACTAAGATTAACAATCAATTTTATTATTTGAATTATAAAAATCTTTCAATCTTTCGATTTTAATTGAAATACAAAACACAAAATACACTTATATTGTAAATACTGTATTTTAAATAAAAGTATTTCAAATACATGCTCAGCTCTGATTATACCATCCAATAATTACTACGTCACAATATACCTTACTAGCAGAATTATTGATCGTGAATTATGTAACAATTTAGTTGAAAAAATGTTGGTCTAGGAACGTTACTTCTCACGCTATACGAGAAAAATACAAATTTGATCAGGTCTTTTTCAAAATATTAATATTAAAATTATTTTAAAATTAAAATAAGAAAGATTTAATATAAATACAATACTAATATAATATATTATATATATTAGAAATATATATACTATAGCGTGTAAATATCAAACTACCCTATTTTTGTAAAACGCATAGAAGTTTGGAAAACGAACTGTTTCACGTGCGTCACTATATAATCGCTTAACCTAATGATTATGGCGCTTTGCCTAATCGGTTCTTAGAAACGATGTGTCTATTAGCACAAACCCTTAATAAATATCATTGCTTCCAAATAATTTACCAAACAATGCCAATTTAATTTCACCAGCTATCACCAGCTACTTCTTCTCATTAATATTAACTTTATTATAAAAAAATGTCTCATCTGTTAATAAAGTCTACAATTTTCGAAACACGGAATTTTCATTATGGAAATTAAATTATAATCATGTGGCAACACCAAATATAGAAACGTGGCCTTGGTGTATAATTTAAATTCCGAATCACATAAAAGAAAGTGCATTCCAAAGCGGATGCACGGAATTCTTAAATTACCGCAACCAAATTAGAAGTCTGATCCAAAGTTTAAACGTTTCGGCAATTATCTGGTTTTACTGCCAAAAATATTTAACTACTGAATAATTATTTTTTCTATCGTAACTATAATGTATTAGAAGAGGAAGAATGAAAATTTAAGAACGAATTAAATAACATATTAATATGATCACTCAAATTCTTTTTCTTTTATTTTTATCCATTGCTTTACATATACGTGTTCTATTTCAGTATCAAACCGCAAAACGACGTTGACTGTTGTAAGTTGCAAGTCTACTACATACAGGAAAGAGGAATAAAGAGGAGAACAGCGAAACGGACAAGAACAAAAATTGTTTTCAAGATTAAAGACTCAAAATCGAACTCCGACGTGCTAACGTTATAATTTCTTTTGCGTTATAATTCCACATTACATTTGGCCAGCAGCTTTTCTAAGAGGTAGGTTTTAACAATCGACACTAACGCTATTTCATTATGCTATTTTTCTGTCTACATTATTATTAATATATTGTAAATTTATTTTAGAATAAAATTAATGTGTACATGAAGAATAAATGAAAAAAGTAAATTAGTCCTAATCTAAATACATTAATATGTATCAAAACTCAGCCTGAAGCTAACATAGAATCTAATAATAATTTAATACTCATGTAATATAATCAGACACGCGCATAGAATCGAAGAGTCATGTTTAGCACTGAATACACGGTATAACAATGAATAAAAAATATGATGTATGCAAAATACAGCGAGGAGGAACAGGAAGTACGACGAAGAAGAGGAAATACGATAAAGCTAGACATCAAATTCATTTTAATTATAAAACGTATTGAAATATGCATGATAGAATGTAGAAGGCTATTACGATTTTCCTCCAGTATTCTATCTCAGGTATAACGAATGATACATATGATAATATGCTATTTCACGCACGAACAATAATTTATTCGTAACATTACATCTGCTTGTTACGCTTTTTTTTTCAAACAATAACAAGTAATGAAGCGAAGATATTCAGAACTGTACGGAGCAATTTATCTCCCATTGTTGAAACTATAAATAACGCAAGTAACACATCCAACGAGCATATCATAATTGATTTACGTCAAACGGAAACTTTATCATATTCCGCTATCGTTTTTGCATTGCTCTGCAGTAACAAACGCAAATTGACCGCAAATGCATCATTGTAGAATATGTATATAATAATTTATATGTGTATATACAGGGTGTTTCCAAATTAAATGGCAAAACTTCGGGAGCGTGTAGAGGAGTAAAAAACTAAGAAAAAAAGTCCTATAGACATATGCTCCTTTTTGCTTTGTTTCGCAGGAAATCACGAAAAAAGAAAAAAATATATTTAATTTATTATTTTAATTATTTTATTTATAAACTTTTTAATGAAGATTTTGTTCGAAATGTGCACCTCTTGCAGCAATACAAGCATTGCATCTGTCAAACACGGCTCTTGTAGCAGCCAGGCACT